CTAGTAAGAGACCTAATCTTAAGTTAATAATCGAAGAAAAAAGGTTTTGAAAAATTAATAGATACTTGGGCTGATGTAACAATTATTAGAGGACAAGATTGGCCTTCAGCTTGGCCTTTATCTGATACTCTCACTCACCTTCAAGAGATTGGTTATGCCAATAACCCAAAACAGAGTTCTAAACTTCTAACTTGGAGAGCTGAAGAAGTCAATTCAGAACAAATTCAACCCTATGTCATGCTTATAACCTTTTTACTGATAGACTATATGTGCCTCAGTCTGTCCCCTTGTTAGAAACTTGTGGTGTATTTCAGTTCAATATACCAGCCAGATCTCTGTTTTCACAACTACAAAACCTCATTCTTACCAAAAAAAAAAAAAAATCCTTTTTATATTGGCCATATAAGAGCTCATTCTGGTCTTCCTGGACCTTTAGCTACAGGCAATGGTCACATTGACAGAGCTTTAATAGGTGAAACCTTAATTTTTGATCCTGTTGCATTGGCTAGATGAGATTATAATACATTTCATCTCTCTAGTCACACCTTAAGTGTCTGACATAAGATCATTAAGGAGCAGGCTAAAATGATTGTAAAGCAATTCCCTAACTGTCTTACTTTATCTCCAGTTCTCCATTTACGCCTTAATCTAAGAGGCCTTAAGCCCAATTGTGGGGCTGGGTGTTCGGCCATGCCCCCAAAACCCAGAGACCTAGCATAAAGCCCTTGCTAGGTCATGTAACCTGAAGCCCCACCTGCTTCCAATATATAAAGAAACCCCTTCCGACATGTTTCGGGAAAGCTCCACACCACCCAAACCCACCGTCTGATAATAAATCAACGCATCTTGTATCTCAACATGTCTCATGAATTCTGGATTCATGTAAGTCAAGACTCTCGCACACCCCTATCCTGACTCTAGCTAGCCAAGTGGATGCCCGGGCCGGCTCGTGTCTTGTGTCCCCCACTGCTGCGTGCCAGCTCCCAGGACAGGGGGATGAGAAGCCTTTCTCTATGCGGTCGGCTCTGTCTAGCATGACTGAACAGCACGCCCTGGGACCGCCGCTGCCCGCCGCTTGCCCAGGACATCTCTGCCCACTCTTGCTGCTCTCCCACACATGACCAGCACGCGGGCAGAGTACGACACCCAATCATATTTGACAAATAGATGTAACCTATTATACAGAATTTAAATAAATTAAAATATATACATGTCTGTACTGACACTTGCTCAATAGTCCTTTTTGTTTTTCTATACACAGGAGAAGCCTCTAAAAATGTAGTTGATTATTGCTTAGGAGCCTTTAATGCTATGAGATTACCTAAAGTCGTCAAGACAGACAATGGGCCAGCCTATACTAGAAACAACTTTACATCACTTTGTAAGGACTTTCGTATTGAACATAAAACTGGAATTCCTTTTAACCCAATGGGACAAGAAATGGTTGAACGTGCATATCACACTCTAAAAAATTGGAACCTTAAAACTAAAAATGGGGAATTATACCCCCCAAGGTCACCAAAAGCACATCTTGCTTTTGTGTTATTTGTGTTAAATTTTCTGCAAACTGATGCTAAAGATCATTCTGTAGCAGGTGGCTACAATTAAATCATTAATATTACTAGTTTGTATTGTATTGCAGTACTATGGGTAATTTAAGCACAAGAATGATGGTTGATGGTCAGTTCCACAACATTCTGGATGTTGGACTAAGTTATACTCATTGCAGAGATCCCTAAGGAAAACTGTAAATACTAGTGGCTTTAAATGGACCTACAGTAACACAAATTACTCCCAGGAAGAAATAAATATCACATTCTAATTGATGAGTGTTTAGCTAAAGGTCTCAACAGTGGTGTGGAGTAGTCTCAAGGGAATCCCAAATGTATAATTGGAACAAAAGGAACGAGCTGCAGACAGAATGAAGAGAACTGTTGGGTAGGTTGCTGACAGGGTCCAGGAAAACAACAATGCCAACAGGAGCCAAAATTAGCTGTCTAATTCCCATTCCTACTGCCTTCAAAAGTACATCCAATGTCATTGGTGGAATTGGACCCTAAATCAGAAGGTAGATTTCTCATTGGATATAAGGCTAAGTCTGGGTAAAAGCAGAGTAATGATCAACGTCTTGATAGAGCATCAGTTTGGTAGAAAAATCAGTAGTCTCAGGAATTAAGTCCATGTCTTGGAAAATCATCTGGTTTCACACCGGGAAGCACCCAACATGCACAGCATGCACTAGAGGTAATGCTGAAACCACACATTCCCTGGTAGAAGGATAGAAAGTCCATCTGCCTGCATGCATTGAAGCATTATTAAAAAGCACCACAATTAACATGGGATGGCAGTGGGTAAGTAGAGGAATGGGTAGAAATGAAAGCCAGTCCAGATGTTCCTCAATGAACAAGAGGACTGAGTCCCAGTAACCCACAGCACATTTCAACTGTCCTAGGCTGACAGTCCAGCTGACACATCGACCTTCCCAGACAGCAGAGCTCAGAGACACAGTGTACTGTGCAGTTCTAGGGTATTTCCCCAGGCTACCTGGGGTGGTGGCTTGCTGCTGCTCCCTGACCTCCTAAGAGATCATCCCCTATACATCATATCACTAGGAACAGGATTAAAACATTAAATCCAACATCATTCCTGGGGCCGTTTTACTGTGCAACCCATGTGTCAAAATATTTACATGTTAGGAGTAAAACTGTAGATCAGTGCCTCACATGCAAAAAGGCTGGGTTTGCCTCAATATTGCTATCATGTAAACAAAAATATTTATTTGCACTTTTAGCTGTGGTAAGTTTGAGAGCATTGTGCATAAGAGTAAATACACTAGTTCAAATCGCAGGGCTGTTAGTCATAAACTTGTTGCATAATTAGTGTGGGTGGAAATAGATTCATTCACATATCTATCTTTAATGAAACTAATATTCCTAACAAATAAAAGATCCAAAATTGAATAAAATTCTCATGAGGGTTACTGAAGTGATCACATACTGCTGTTTAATATTCCTGTGCTAGTAAGACCTTTCTAAGCAAGACAGTCAACTTGGATAGCATAGATATGATGTATCTTTTTATCCTGTAACATTTTTTTATTTGTTTTTTAATCTATGTGTCTGGGCACTTTGCCAGCAAATATGTCTAGGTACCACAGGGCCAGAGTCATCCAAGCCACTAGTACTAGAACTACAGAGAGTTGCAAGCTGCCGGGTATGTGCTGAAAGTTCTCTGGAAAAGCAGTAAGTGATCTTAACTGCTGAGGCATCATTAGCCTCTGAAACCTAATTAATGTGGAACACTTAAATATTGCATATCCATGATTATGGCCAATTAGAGTTTAATATTTATTTTAAGGCCCAATTCAAGTTTCCTTTGCATGTTGATTCACATCTGTCCTTTATTCTATTTAGATTTTTTTTCTGACAAATTTTTAAAAAGTCCTTATACAAAATAGAACAAACTGAATCTTCAATAGTTACAAGTGTTACAAATGACTGGGATAATTTTTTCATTTACATTTTTATTTCTCTTATTTTATATAGATAGATGTTTTGTCTGAAATACATATATGTGCACCAATTGCATGCTTGATACCTGTGGAAATCAGAAGAAAGTATCAGATCCCCTGAAAATGTGGTAAGGATGCTTGTGAAGTACCATGTGGATGCTGGAACCCAAAGCCAGTTTCTCTGTGAGAATAGTAAGTGCCCTTATCACTGAGCCTTCCATCCCTTGAATATTTTATCTTTATATAATTCCAAAAATATTTGTTTCTGTTTCATTCCAATTGCATGATCTCTCCCTCCCTTATCCTTGTCCCTCTTCCTCCCTCCTTCACCTTCCCTCTCTCTTCCTCTATTTCTTCCTCTTCTACTTCTCCTTCTTCCCTTGCTCCCTTCCTCCTGCTATATTTATAATATCTAAGTATCTCATAGGACTCCAAAATCATTTAGTTTAATAAGATTTTTCTGTTAGTTACTCAGAAATTCTCAGCAAGGCCATTCATTTTAATAAGTCTACAAAATTGATTTCCACATTTTGCACTGTGTTGCCTTCACAGCATGTATTATTTTACAAATATTGCCTTAGTTTGCAACATCATTTAGACTTGGGGTCAAATTCTGTGGGTTTTGGGAACCAGAGAATAATCATTACCTAAGAGCAGCTGATGTGGAAAACCAAAGGCTTTAATAATCAACCAAGAGATAAGAAAAGATGGTGCAACAGAACTGGAGCAAAAGACTATTGTTGTAGGAAACAAACATATGGGAAACATCTAACTTTAGGAAAAGGAATAGACATTTCTACCAGTCTGCATGCTCACACCAGCCAGACAGAGATTTTGCAGATCCCAACCCCTGACACCTACTCCCCTCCCACAACCCTGTCCTCAACCTGACTAAACAGGTTGAAAATCTCAGGAGCCCATACTTCCTACATGCATTTTGTAATAGTTTGTCTTGCTGTAACAAAGCACCCTGACAAAAACATCTGAGGGTGGGTCAGGGTTTACTTGACTTATCCTTCTACATCACAGTTCATCATTTTGAAAAGTCAAGGCAAAACCATGAAGCAAAACAATGGAGGGACGTTGTTTGCTGGCTCATCTTCAAGATCATGCTTAGCTAGCTTTCTTACACAACCCAATCAACTTGCCCAGAAAATAGTGGTATCCACATTTGGCTGAGCCCTCCTACATCAAGAAAAAGAATCCTGACAGTTTCCCACATGCATGACTTCGTACCAATCTGATCGGATTCTCTCTCCACTGATACTCCATTCTTAGGTCTCTCTAGGCTATCAAGATGTGAACCAAAACTAAGTAGGACAAAATTCCATTGCTGTGTACATAGGTCCTGGCCAGACAAGGGCAAAATATTGCACTTTTCTGCCTCTCTCATGAAATGCCACTCCATGGCTCCCTACCAAACCGGACAGGTTATAGGTCTTTGGAACTTCTGTCTTCAATACACCTTTCAACCCTTCTGTGTGTCCACATTGGCCAGACAGCATGAGGATCTTGAGGACCCCTATTCCTGTTGCACACTCATGCAGCTCTGTCTTCAATCAACCTGAACAGCTTAGAACTCATGATTTCTAACTCCAGCACACACTGCTGTTGATATATGTGCTCACCCAGGTGGACAGCATGGAGATCTCAGGAATCCACTCCTGCCATGCCCGTTTGCTCTTCCACACTCAGCTTTGTCAAACAGATTAGTAGCTTCCAACCTGATTGCACATTTCTTCAACACTATGTGGCTTCTTCTGGTTGATCAGAGAAGTGCAATGTCCCTACACCACTGCTCACTGAGGAAATGAGAAGTTGCAGAGCAGCCCATACCTAACATACTCATGAAGTTCTCTCAATATACATTCCACCTTAGAGGTCCTGGATCCTCTGGCCAGCTGCACACTTCTTCAGTGCCAAAGGAAGCCCAGCCTGTGAGGTAAGAAGTTATATGAAACTGCCATGTGACTTAGTAGGCAGTTATGATCTTTCAAAACTTGAACTATGTCCTTTGTCCAATGTTCCTCTTGCTTTTAAAGTTTCCATTTTAAAAGTATCTGTTCTTTGGGTAAACCCGCCATTGCATGTGTATTTGTCTTTCTCTCTTGCTGCTTTGAATATACTTTCTTTTTTTCTGAATATTTAGCATAGTATGAAATTGAGTATTTCTTTCCTGTATGTGTTTATTGGATGTTCTCCATGCCTATTGTAGCTGGATGGGTTCACACCCCATTGATAGAAATACTTCAAATTCAATTGAATGATAAACACATTCAAGAAGCTACAGAAAAAATTAGAAGATACTAAAACATTTAGTAATCAAATGAGAACTGCAAAATACCAAATACTAAAAAAATCAACAAAATGGCAGGAATTGAAACAGACCTTTCTCTAGCAACTCTGAATACCAATAGGCTGAACTCCACAGTAAAAAGACACAAACTATCTTAATGGATCAGAAAACAGTATTTCTGCTTTTTAATGTATCCAAGAAACATTCACCACTAAAGATAGGCACCACTTTATTGGAAAAATGTATCTGAAGCAAATGGAACTGGGAAACATGTAAGAGTGAATGTTCTGATATCTGACAAAATAGACATCAAGCCAACACTAGCCAAAAGAGATGAAAAAGAGGTGACTGCTTAAGGGAACAATCCACCAAAAGGACATTACAGTTATAAATATAGAATGGACAAACACAGGTATAGTAGATGATTTCAACATTTTCTCCAGTAAATTATACAGGCAAAATGTGAGCAGAGAAGCATTAGAGCTAAATGACATCAGGGATTAATTGAACTTAACAGATATCTCAAGAACATTCCACCTAAACAATACACAACTCACATTCTTCTCATAGAATTTACCCTGAAACTTATCAGGAAACATGTAAAAAGTAGTGCTTTTGCATACTAAAAACAATTAAATGTACAATGTTAATTGTGAAATGTCAATTTCAGAATCAAGAATCAAGTGAGCCTTTAAAAAGAAATGTAAGTCTAGACACAATGCATAACAAACAAAAAGACAAAAAAAACCAAGAATATTGAAATAAGAACATATTGCTGTTATTTCTGAATCCATTCAACTAACCTATGTCTTTAGATTAGAGGGTTGAGGCCATTAATATTTAAAGTTAATACTGAAATGTATATGTTGATTGTTGCTGTTAGTATTTTTAGTCTTACTTTGATATTCAGTGGCTACAGAATCATTACTTTTCTTTTTACAGTCTCTTGGATATCCTTATTCCCCTCCTCAGTATAAAGTATTGCTTCCCTGTAGTTCCCTTTAGTTCCTGTAGAACTAGTCTGATGAATGTTAATTCTTTTAGTCTGTTTATACCATGGTAAGTGTTTATTTCTCCTTCAACTATGGTAAATAGTTTTGCAATGTTACTACACAATAATAGTTTTTGTTGGCATCTGTGGTGATTGAGAATTTGAAGTAGATTTCTCTGGGTTCTTATAGCTTTGGTTTCCATTGAAAAATCAGCTGTAATTCTAATGGGGTTTTCCTTTTATATGAATTGTGCTTTTTGTCATCCAACTTTCAAAACCCTCTATTTCATTGACATTCAACCTTCCTGATGCTGCCACCCCTTAATACAGTTCCCTCTGTTGTGGTGACCCCCAACCATGAAAATATTTTTTGCTACTTCATAACTAGAATTTTGCTACTATTATGAATCATAAATTAAATGTATGGTATGTCAGATATCTGATATGCTACCCATATGAAAGGGTTGTCCAACTCTGCAAGTAATCTCTACCAACTGATTGAGAACCTGCTGCTCTATTTGTTCTGCATATGAGTGTTTTAACTGTAATATGCCATGGCATGAGTGTTTCTCTTCTGATCCTATTATTTAATGTTCTATATGCTTTTTAGTCTGTATGAGTATGTCAGTCTTTAATCAGGGAGTTGTGCGGTACGCAACCCCAGTTCCTACATCTACAATGCAAACCCTATACTTGAAACTCAGAGAACATCATCGAAGAGGAGGTAGAAAAATTGTAAGAGTCAAAGAGGTATGACATGTGCTGTGAGAAAGTGTCTTTTATGCATAATAGAAAAGCTGCTACCATTAAAATCTCAATATGACATGCCAACATGGATGAAATTTTTTCACAATGCACTATCCCAAGATAAAAATATACAGTCAATCAATGACTTCTGAGAGACCTGAAGATTCAGTTTTCCCTAGGGACTATTGACAGTTAATGGTAGCTAGGGAAATGATGTAATTTTTTTTCAGTAATGTAGCTACCAATATGGTTTTTTTCATGTTCCAGTAAATAATCTCTCATGAATGCTTATGCAGGCAAGCTTATCAAAATCCAGTAGGTCACAACACAAGAAAGACATCAAAGTGGGAGGCAAGCTTGCTAGGAAGAAGAACATTTTCAGTAGGTGGAAGGCAATGAGATAGCATAATAGGAGTGAGAAAAACTAAAATTTATTACACGCATGTGCCATTTCCCCAGCCTTGAGCAGGCCTGAAAGACCTTGTTTACCACCATAGAACAAATAATTGGACCTAGGTGGAGTTACCTACCTTGTCTGCATAGGCAACCTGCCACAGGAATTAGAAGAATAAACTACCCATTGAGTTTGCCTTGGGAAACTCCATTTGTGACTAAGGATGTGTTCCTCTACCCATCTCCAGCTGAAACAAGAAGATATTCAGTGGGGTTTTCCCTTTAAATTGAAAAGCTCAACATTAAGCTTTGAGCCTTGATCAGAGAACTTTGTCTTGGCTTCATCTTTTGTCACCCTCCATCCCTTTCTCATTTCCATACCCCCTTTCAGAAGAACCCAGTTGGTCTGTGGCCATCAGTGGCTACAGATGGAGCCCAATGTGGGTCTCGCTGAGAAATGATGTCTTAGATCGAGCTCCGTGGAAAACTGAAGAAGAAGAAGAGTATCCTACACTTGGTAAGAAATGAACTAGCTCTAACACTAGCGCTAGTCATCTTTTAGAGGCCATGTTCCAAGTGTGTTTTTAGTAGATATGGTCTAGGCTGAATAAGTGCTGACCTGACACAAACCTCACCTAGGAGGTGACCGTTAAACAATGGACAGGAGAATCCTAAACAGGCATTTACCCTTAGCCTACAAGAGCTGCTCCAGGCATGAGGAACAGCGTTTTCAATTCATATATAAAAAAAAATTTTGTCTGAAATAGATTTACACTGCCCGTGGTTCCCACAAGAAGGAACTTTGAATAAGAAAACCTGGGAAACAGTTGGAGAAGTTTTTAGAACCACCTAGGTTGATCCTAACACCCTCTGCCTCTGGAAGCTTATAAAAGATGCTAGTGAACATAGATAAAGAGACATTGCAGGCATTAGCTGCTGCCTAATCACAGCTTTAAGAGGTTCAAGAACGCCTATCAGAGAGCACTTTTACAGAAAAGGCCCTCTCAACTCTAAATCAGAGAAGTATAGACCTAGTACACCTTTTACAGCTCAGATAAAAGAAATTAAAGATTCTGACGACGAATTAGACCCAGAGGAGTGACCTGAACTAAAAGAAAGGGCTGCCAAACACCACAGTGAGGATTGGCCTGCCTATTCACCTTCTGCTCCACCTATAGTCTTTGATGCAGCAGAAGCAGCCCAGATCAACATGAAGGTATATAAGTTAGAGATGGAAATTAAGCTGCAGAAATTGACTAACAAGCTACAGGAGTGAAAGTGTCAGGTGCAAAAAGAGCAATGATTTTGAGATGCACCAATCGCCACTAGAAAGGGCTGTGATTCAGGCTCATAGGGATGGGCAAGATACATCTTATGTGTTAGCTTTTCATGTAGTTGATATAATTGACCAGCAGAACAGAAGTGTCAGACAATACCAGGCATTGGAGTTCAAAGTGATAAAAGAATTAAAAACAGCTGTGACACAGTATGGGCCTACTGCCCCCTTCACACAAGTTTTATTGGATACTGTGGTAAAAGCAAATTTAACACCCCAAGATTGGAAAACTATATGTAAGGCTACTTTGTCAGGAGGAGATTACTTACTTTGGAGTTCAAAATGGCACGATTCAAGTAAGAGAACCGCATGATAAATGCTCAGGCAGATAATGCAGATTGGGATATTAACATGCTTCTAGGAGAAGGTCAATATGAAGGTAATGCTAATTGGGTAGAGCTACCTGCAGGAGTGTATGCACAGATAGCAATGGCTTCCCACTGTGCTTGGAATCAATTATCTACTAAAAGAGATTTTAAGGGGAATTTATCTGGTATTAAATAAGGCCTTGATGAACAGTTTCAGGAATTTGTGGACAGGTTGCTGAACACAGCTGGTAGAATTTTTGGAGATCCTCAAGCAGGAGTTCCTTTTGCTACACAGTTGGCTTATGAGAATGCTAATGTATCCTGCTGCACAGCTATCAGGCCATACAAAGCAGAGACATACTTACCTCGATACATTCATCTTTGTGCTGAAATTGGTCCCTTATGCAATTAGGGTCTGGCAATGGCTGCTGCCTTACCAAGAGACCACTGTACAAGTAATGCTTGCACAGAACCCTAAAGATAAAAGATGTTTTAAATGTGGAGATTTAGGTCATTTTAAAAATGACTGTCCCAGGAACAAAGGCATGAGTAAACAATCAGGTTGCATGCCAGAAATTTGTCCTCAGTAAAGAAGGGCTATCATTGGGTCAGGAATGTAAATCTGAAACAGATGAACATAGTGGTCTCTTATCGGGAAATGAATGGTGGGGCCAGCCCTAGGACCCCAAGAATCCACAGCCAACAGCTTATGGGGCCATGAAGCTCTTGCAAAGCCAGGGAAATCCATTACTGAACTTATCTTAGCACCCCCAGGAAGTGCAGGACTGGACCTCAATTCCACTACCTACATGTGTTGACACCAGAAATAAGAGTTCAGATGCTGCTTACAGGAGTTTTTGGGCCCTTGCCTCCAGGGACATGGGGATTACATCTGGGCTGAAGCAGCAGTACTGTAAAAGCATTACAAATCTATCCAGGTATTATAGATAATGATTATGAGGAAGAAATTAAAATTATGGATTGGTTATGCCAATAACCAAAAATAGAGTTTTAAACTTCTAACTTGGAGAGATGAAGAAGGCAATTCAGGACAAATTCAACCCTATGTCATGCCAAATTTGCCTATAACCCTCTGGGGAAGAGATCTCTTGTCACAGATGGGTTTTATGATGTGCAGCCCTGTCATAATCTCCTATAGATGCCATTGGCCCTTGCTCATTATTTAACAGAGAAGCAGTGGAGTTCTCTACTGTGGGGAAAACAGTTCTCAGTCACAGTGTATACTCAATTTCTTTATTTGGACATTTCCCTTTTACAATACCATTTAAATTGGGGTTGAATGTACACACTACAATATTCATGAGTACTGACCCAAAGATTTTGTAAAATATATATTTCTAACAATACACCTTTTTTTTTTTTTTTCGAGACAGGGTTTCTCTGTGTAGTCCTGCCTATCCTGGAACTCACTCTGTAGACCAAGCTGGCCTCAAACTCAGAAATCCGCCTGCCTCTGCCTCCCAAGTGCTGGGATTAAAGGCGTGTGTCACCACTGCCCAGCTTTATCAATCCACCTTTACAAACAATTTCCTCTACCTCATAGGTAATATATGAATGGCATCATTTTGCTTTACATAATATTGTTGAGATTCTTCTATTTCTAATGTGACCTAGAGTGTTTGTATTTCTAAGTAGTATTCTACCACATAAATACACCATAATTTTTTATTGTTCACTCACCTGGTGATGACATTTAGTTTTTTTTTTTTCCAGTTTGAATCTTTCTGAATAAAAGTTTCTAGAGTAGTCTTGAGTAGAATTTAGTTTGAGATTTCTAAGTCTTCTGCAAAAACACTAAAACTACTGGCTCGAAGAGTAGATGAATAGTGCCTAGTTCCCATCAGACCATTGACAGCAGTGTCACTGGGCCGTTCCAGCTGCTTCACACTCTTACCAACACCAGGTTAACAGTATCCATGATTACTAAAAGTGCAACTGAAGCTTTGTACATACAAACATTCTACACTCAGCACCCTATGGACTAGTCTCAGCAATTAGTACCCAGTACACTAGAAACCTGCACTAGATTTCAGACTCTTATCCAGCATGGTCACACCAAGAGGACATCAGAAGTATGTATTACTGGTGCTGTCTAGATTCACTCACCCTAGCACAGCATGGTCAGTGAGAAATCCTGGAGAACTCAACAAACTTCCCTGCCAGTTCTACCATCATTTGCTATTGACTCAGCATGATGTTTGTGCTTGTTTGTTTGTTTGTTTGTTTGTTTACTTTTCCTTAAATTTTAAAGATCACATTATTTAGTAATACGTGCCAAAAATAAGAGTTGTTCTTGAAAAAATATAGTTACGCAAAACCTAACAGCTAAAAAATAATAATCCAAACAAAACAGCAGGCTTGCCAGATGTAGCACCACATAGCTATTCTCTCACACTCAGAGAACTGAGGCTGAGGAATTCCAAGTTCCAAACTATCCTGGGTACTAAAGTACCCATAATAAAAATATTAATAACAATGGGATTGCCTGAGCCTTGCTCTTTAAAAATAGCTCCTTTAGTGCTGGATGTGTAGTCCAAAGGAGCAGCACTGGTCCTACATTGAGGGGGCCCATGGTTCAATTGGTAGAACCATTTTTTTAAAATGCCCTAATTCAAGTTCCACATCCGCTAACACCATTCCTTCCCATAACTATTATAACTTGCTTTCTGTAACTCACAGCACACTGCTTGTCCATATTGTTTTTAACCACAAAAGGATTGTACGCTAAGGAATTATATCTGAAAGCAGAAGATGAACTTCATTTGATAGTTTTTAAGTAGCATTTTACAGAAACTGTAAAAAGTATCCAGTAAGAATTGGTTGGTGTATACATTTTAGGAGTCATATTTCCACAGTTCAGATGCAGAGTAGGTGTGTTATTACTAATAGTATGCAGAATGAACCTAAGAGGGAAAGATATACAATCATTATACACACAAAATCAATACCCAATAGGTAATTTGTCTGGAAAAGATGTTAATAGATTTCTACTTAATCACAGGCAAGCACTTGCTTCTGATCTGATTTTATTTAATTCTAAAAATAATGCTGTAGTGTATTTTTTTCATAGTACTGACAGAATCAAACACACACACATTTTTACAACCCAAGATTAAGTAGTAACTGTAAACACTAATATTATCAGGATCTATTCTTAGTTGTTCAAGTTCTTGCTCCTCATAACAGTAACTCAGAAACCTGTTGCTATTCCTGTCTTCAAGTTCTGACTAAGCTACAGCAAAGTCTTTTTGATTCAGAATTTTGTAGATCTGCTGGGATCCTCAGTGTCAGCAGGTCTTCCCAGTGTATTCAAGTGAACAATAATATCCTTCAGACATTTGTTCCACCTCAGCATCTATATTTTCTGCTGATCTAAAGATTCTCTCCTACTCCTCTCTTTGCAGCAGATTCAGAATGGCTGTTTCTTCTGACTAGGTTGACAGATGGTTTAGTTGTTCCTGCTATAAAATGAGATTGCCCAACTCTTAGACTTACCTTTTCTAATCCTAGAATTGACTTGGTTGTACTGGGTGAAGAAGGTACCTCCCTAGATCTTGTAGCTCCAGGCTCTCTGTCCATCAGACTATCCACTGGACCCCATATCATCACAGGAATTACTACTGAATTAAGAGCAGGTAAGAGTAAAGAAATGTTGACTAAATCAGTGTTATGAATACAAGTTGAAGCCACCATTAATCAGGGTAACAGTATTAGGGGTAACCACAACAGTGGTAGTTGTAGATGGTGAGTTCCATGAAAGCCATGGAGAAAGAAACATTTGACACTGCAGTAAGCATCAAGGTCCCTGAACTACCAGTGATGGCAACAGCAGAAGGCGCTAGAACCAACCTTAGGTGCACACAGAAGACAACAAAGTAACTGTTCAAACCTCTGAGACTGCACAGTACTGGAAGTGGCATATCCAAACACTGACCTACTCCCTCAGGGAAGAAGTGAAGTCCTAGCTGAAGAGTGCTAGAATCCAGCAGCCTGCTTTAGGTCATAATTAGGTGTTTTAGGTTGAATTTCTCCAGGAAGCAGACTGGGGAATATTTTAGGGAGTGAACATCTATGAGAGTAAAGGAAGTACCACTGAACTCGGGAGAAGCAACTGAGACAGAGGCTACAGATGTCAACATGATACTCAGGACATCTCTAGTCTGCTCCTCAGAATTATTCAAAATCAAGGTGCTACTGCTCCAGACGAGGTTAAAGGGCAAGACTTGTGAAAGGAAGAGTACAGCCCATTGTGATCAGCAATCTTTCAGTGTTTGCGTGATTTGTGTTTGGTTTTGATGTAATAATGGCAACTAGAAGATGGAGTACACTTACTTCTTATGGAAATGTATAAGAATAATTTAGAGATAAAAGCACATGAAAGTTTTTATTACTAAATATCAATCTTAGAGCAGCTGACCAGTTTTTCTTTTGAATTCTGTAAATACATATAACTATGGGAGTGAGGGTAGAGCCTATAATGATCAGAAGAGGGTATGATGCTCCACGGAGCTAGGGTTACAGGTGAGCTGCTTGAAGTGGATGCTGGAAACAGAACTCAGGTCCTCTGGAAGAACAAACAAGAGCTTTTGACCACTGAACCTTCTTTAAAGCCTTCAGCTTTATTGTTTTTAGAAATGAATTGCTCATTATCTTCCCCTTACAGGCCAGGAAACTAAGAATCAGAATCTCAGTAAATTCACACTCCCATGGCAGTTGTTCCAAAACTAGAGGCTGTTAGTCCAATTCTCCACCATTTGAAACAATCATATATTTTCTCTTTAAAATGTTTGCATAGCCAGGCAGTAGTGGCACAGATCTTTAATCCCAGCACTTGGGAGGCAGATGAAGGTGGATCTCTGTGAGTTCAAGGCCAGCCTTGCTTACAGGACAGCCCCAAAATCACCCCAAAACAAAACAAAACCGAAAAAAACTTTGCATTTGTGCAGAATGTATACATATGTTCATGTCAACCAGGAATATGCTTACCACAGCACGTGTGTGAGAGTCAGCTAGGTGGACTCCCATCTCTGTATAAGAACACTGGGGTTACATCCATGTCTGGCTTTACCAGAGTCATAAGGATAAAACTCAGCTCCATGAGTATGAGACAAAGTCTTTTACTGACTGTGATATCTCTCCAGTCTTGACAACTGAATCACACATATGTATGTCAAAAAATGTACGAGATATCACTGGTGAGTAAAAATGTTAAGCATCTAATCTTCACCATCTTGTTTTCCTTTATGCTTAGTTTCCAAGGGCTGGTTCAAAGTGCATAGGGTCATAATCAATCAAGTACCAATGGGAGTCAAAGCAAGTGACTTTGACTGAAAGGCAAAAACCATCGAGTGATCACTGATCCCTTCCCATTTTCCTGTCACTGATTCTGCTGTGGCTGGTAGGTCTAGAGTTTCAGTGTGCTGCTCTATCATGAAGCAGTTTTCAAGCTCTTCAATAGTTTATCCTTCACTTTTTCCCCATTAGACAGAGTTTCTCTGTGTAGCACTGGCTGTGTCCTGAAACTGGCTCAGTAGACCAGACTGGCCTCAAACACTCAGAGATCCACCTGCCTCTGCCTCCTGAGTACTGGGATTAAAAAGTGTGTGCTAACACTGTTCATCTTAATCTTTAATCTTTTTAAGGAAAAAAAAAGACCTATAAAAGTTCAAGGAAGTTCTGTGAGTAGTGAATCCCACTGTGTACTATATGTTGTCTAAAAGTCAATAGCCAGATGCTCCCATTCAGAGTTTTTCCAACTCAAATGCTCTGCTTTTGACAGAAAAGAAACATCAAGAACAGTAACACAATAAAATCCCCAAGAACACCCTTCTCCCCGGTTCTGGCTGCCTTCTCCTAACTTGTTCTCTTTACAAGGTGGTGCTTTTCCATTAGTATTTGTAAGTCTGTCTCTCTTATTCTTTCTATTTCCTTTTCTACCTTCTGTATCCTATCTTCTTCTTTGGGTCCATATTCCTGAAATATTTACCTAGATCATACACTTAAGGAAAACAACACAATTTAACATTATGCCTCAGGACCATGGACAGTGCACTAGCTTGACCTCTTCAGGGACCAATTGAAAATTTGATATATTATTAAACATATTTGTTGTGGTAGTTACAAGTGTATAAAGTTCTGGTCACAATAGTAAAACTCTGGACTGAACTGGATTATTTCTCTTCATAGAGAAGGAAAAAACAGTAACACTACCCAAAGCACAAATGGTATATAACAGTTGTCCACTGTTGCCAGTTATGGAACTTTTAAGAGACTGTTCCCAGTAAGGAACTGGAACACAAATCTGTGTGTTTTAAACTGCACATTTACAATGTCTATGCAATTAGCTGAGGTTGGATCAAGGATAAGAATTGGGTGGCAATTCAGTCATTCTCACTAGAGAATGCAAAATTAGTTCTTGATGTAAAATGAAAATCATTATAGGTCATTTTCCCTTGATGTTATAAATAAAAAAGTCCTTTGATCAATGTGTCCTAACAATGAAAACAATACCTTTAGCCATCTTTTGATATCAGTAAACGGACAAACAGGTCACATGAACTGTCACCTAAACAGCAGCAGCATGACAACTTACTATCTTCTTGGCAGCATGTGTGTCTGCTACCCAGGCAGTGGTTATGCCACCTACCTGTGGGCAAACTGTACGTCTAGCTAATGTCACTTGACTAAGTACACACTACATGTTCTACAGCTTCTGAGAGCTTCACCTACTACTGATAGTTCCTTCAATGTTAGGAGGTGATCACCTTGACACATACTCCTGCCTTGTCTTCCAACCTGACAAAAAACACTTCAAGTGAAGTCAGATAGCTCACCTCCTGACATTTGAAGTCTATTGTACCAACAGTGGGCAAAGGGCACATGTTAACAACTCACAGGCGTCTTCTGGAATCTAAGAGCTCATCTTTGGCTGCTTACACATATTCTAGACACACAGTTTGTGAAGAGTAATGAACTCTTTTCCTCTTTTCAATGAGATAACACTGACCCTTCCTTTTAGTCTGACCTCAACTGAACAATATTCAATCAACCCTTTACATGCTGCCTCAGTTAGCACTTTCTAAAGTTGCCCCTAAGTACCTTTGCTGGCAAAAAGAGCATGAAGGGATGGGAGGATGAGGTCTTATTCAAGAATGTGGGTATAAAGAGAAGACTTGTTTGAATGCTCCTGAGAATTCTCATTCTTCTCATAATTTATATATTCCTTCTGCAGTGCTCCTGTGCCAAGGGATCCAGCATGATGACGTGTTTTACTTTTTATCCTACTAATAGTTTCATATCTCTTGGCACAAATAGAAACAAAAATCAAGCAAGTTTCCCCACACCTACCAGTCAGTCTGCTACACAAGTGGAGTCATGGGCTCACTCCAAGAATGTGAATTCAACTGGGATTTATATTTTTGTGAAAAATCTTGAAGATTCAATAGAAGTGGCCAGGTTTCCTTTTCCTCATTGCTTTCCATACATTCTAGAAAGACCAAGGTGGAAACCCACTTCAGTACTGAAACATCTAAAAATATTATAATCACATGAAGAAAGAGGGACTATTTGGCACTTGGGTCAAAGACTGACCTTGACACACTGTCCTAGATGCTTAGTTCCCCCAACTGAACAGCTTCTTCCAGGTTCTTACACATCTACTGATCAGCATCTCAATGTCTCTTGTATGGAAAAGAAAAGCTCACATAACACAAGGTTTTGGCTCTCTGCATAGAAATGCAGAAAGTTATTGCTATCACCTGGCATCAAGACCAACTTAAAAATCTTCAATAAGTATTGAATTCTATAATGACAATTTTACTTTTTTGTTTTGTTTTTTGTTTTCTTTTAAAACAGTGTTTCTCTGCGTAGACCTGGCTGCCCTGGAACTCACTCTGTAGACCACATTGGCTTCAAACTCAGAGATCTTCCTCTCTCTGACTCCCAATTGGTGGGATTTAAGTACAATGCCACCAAATCCCAGTATGATAGTTTTATTTTAAATAGTTTGATTTTAATCATAAGTCTTATTCCAAAAAGAACTATGAGGTTAAGACTGCATTTGTGGGTATGTGACAGAGATTTTTGACTGAAGGTAGGTACTTGAAGTACTACAAGTGATTTCCACCAGGGTCAAGTCAACCTTTTAAAACTGTAGTTGTGGGACTGTGTAAGGATATCCTGGGTCATGGTAGAGCAGGTGTCTAGAACCCCGAGACTCTGTAGATTCTGGGCGAGATTCTACATGAGAACCAGCAGGAGTTTGACATCCCCCAGAACCCAGGATCCTGAAAAAGCGGTCACAGTCTCCATAGAATTACTACATAGGCCAGGCTATAGGCCTCAGGCCCTAGGGATTTACATACTAATGAAGGCCAGAGGGCAGAACAAATTAAATATGTCTCCCCCAGATCTTCCCCCAATCCTCCCCCTCTTTTCCCTCCCTATATAACTCGGGACTGTCCTGAGTTTTTGGGGGGTACGCCTAGATCCACCTATTATCTGCCATGACAATAAACCTTTTTGGAACCAAGGACTTCCTTGTGTTACTGGGGCCTGCCACCGCCAAGGCCCTTAGGCCACTGAAACCATAGGACCTCTTCTCTAATGTGGGACCCGCCACGGCGGCGGAAGCCCCTCCGGGGCTTGTGCCGCTGTGGCGGCCTTTTTAAGTTTTCCTCACATTTTGGTGCCCCAACAAGACCCCTTAATCGCCATTCTTTACCCCTCCCCCAAAAAAAATCTCCCGGGCTCTCCCTACACAGAAGTTTGCCCCTCCCCCAGGGGTTAACTTTTCGCGCTAAAATTCCCCCACTCCCCACCATTTGCGGCCAGCTGGTTACAGCCCAGCTGACCTGCCTGTAATAACAGGGCTGGTTTTCTGTTTGCCCCTTCCCGACTAGTTCCCTTCTAAGTCATTTGCGACCAGCTATACCCCAGCTGGCTTGCCTGTTAGCAGAGGGTCTGAGACTCCATCTGCGCCCCTTCGCCTTTGTTTAACTTACAATTTCTTTCTCAACCTCTAGGTGTCTCTCTGCCATAACTCAGTCTCACACAGCCTTTCACTCCTTCTGACTCTGTTACCAAACTTCTGTATTTTTCGCTTTAAACTTTTCTTCAAAGTTAGCCTTTCTTTTCTCTAAGAAAAACAACAGGGGGAATTCCTTGACCTCCCTGCTAGAACATCCAGCCACCAGGTGGTAACCCAAACCACCACATGGCAGAACAGGCCTTTCCTCCACTACTTCTAAATCTGCCATTAATGCCTTTCCCCCTAACAGGAATGCCTAGAACAACAGTGTTTGTGCTTTTCAACCCAAAATTTTTTGCTTTTTGTTTAAATGTCTCCTTTTCACTCATGATATATTCTCAACAATTTTTTTCAACTTTTAAAATTTCTTCAAGGTGTGAAAGTCATCTAAATTTACTTCCACAGGTTAAATCAAGAAGCTGATCAACATCTTTCAACTATTAATTAACAACTAGTTTCCTTTTACAGACAAACTGTTGCTGCCTACATAATTAATATGATTCTCTTCCACAGTCAGCTAAAACAGACTCAAAGGTGACTTCTAAAACTGAAATTTCTTCAAACACCTTTGCTTTCTAAGATCTCAACGACACACCATGAAGTACCTGATCCCAAGTAGCCTAATGCTTGCTACCCCTTTACAGACATCCCCCTGCTGGGGTGCCGCTTCCCTGTTGTGATTATTCTACAGGTGCTCCCACAAGTCCAACAGAGACTTATAGAGCCTCCTGGAACCTGCCTAGGATGCCGTGCTGTCTTCTTACAGCCACACTGCCTGACTGCAGATTCCAGAGACACGCTGAGATCCAGAGACACATGCCAAGATCCAGAGATGCTGAGTCCTATGGACAGATTCAGACCTTCCAGCTACAGATGAACTCTTTTGCCAAAGTCATAACTAAAGTTACATGTTAGTGAGGAAAACGTAATGTCTATCTAGATTAGTCAGATATTACTACCCTCAAACTGTACCACCTAAATTCAATCGATTCAATGATCCTTTACCTTCCCTACTCCCCAACTCCCCCTTACCCTGTGACGTAATTATGCTAATACCTCTGGCCTACATAGTGCTTTCTTTCGACTTCCGAATCCAAAATTTTCACAGTGACCCCCCTTTTTTAAAAAAAGTAAAGGGAGGAGATGTGGGACTGCGTAAGGGTATCCTGGGTCATGGTAGAGCAGGTGTCTAGAACCCCGAGACTCTGTAGATTCTGGGCGAGATTCTACATGAGAACCGGCAGGAGTTTGACTCCCCCCAGAACCCAGGATCCTGAAAAAGCGGTCACAGTCTCCATAGAATTACTACATAGGCCAGGCTATAGGCCTCAGGCCCTAGGGATTTACATACTAATGAAGGCCAGAGGGCAGAACAAATTAAATATGCCTCCCTCAGATCTTCCCCCAATCCTCCCCCTCTTCTCCCTCCCTATATAACTCAGAACTGTCCTGAGTTTTTGGGGGGTACGCCTAGATCCATCTATTATCCGCCATGACAATAAACCTTTTTGGAACCAAGGACTTCTTCGTGTTACTGGGGCCTGCCGCCGCCAAGGCCCTTAGGCCACTGAAACCATAGGACCTCTTCTCTAATGTGGGACCTGCCACGGCGGCGGAAGCCCCTCTGGGGCTTGCACCGCTGTGGCGGCCTTTTTAAATTTTCCCCACATGTAGTGACTGGGTAGCTTGCAGGAAGCCTAGCTCACCTACCTGATGCACCAACCAACTATCTCAATTTACTATGAAGAGGGCATCCCATATGTATATATCTGGATGTATTTCTCTTAAAATAATGAACAGTCCCCAGAGAGTCTTTGGACTGGCTAACTGGCAGGAAAAATACTCACCCAGATAAGACAAACCAAGAGACCAGTGGCTCAGTCAGAAATGTATGTTAGAACACTTCTAGATCTGCTGCAATGAGACAGAACTGTTTTAAAATCAGGTTGGGATCCACTGTTTCTGGTCTAACCCACAAAGGGCCCAGGAATACATACCTCACACTCCTCAATTTCTTATTCAAATACTACCACCACTGTGATAAAGTCTATTTTATTCCTCCCTACATAATCCTTAAGCTTCTAATTTTGTTATAACTCAAAATTATTGCTCCAGGCACTAGGAGTCCAGGAAAGTTACTGTTCTATTCACTCATTCTTCTTGTAAGACACTTGGAATCCAATGGAACCACTGACTCCAGCATAGAAATCCTGAGTCACGCCAATTCCACATTTGCAAAGTCATGCTAAATATTGTAATCTCATGGGTGGGCAGTTTGTCTAATTAAACCATCTAGTGGATCAAAGATGAGACAAAGCTTGTACCCTGGAATGACTGGGGTCATATGAGCTGTGGTCTGTCCCCACTGTCAGATACACAGGTGTATGCATAGGGTGGCAGTGGGACCTGGAGTCCACTAGGAACAATGTCATATGGTGTCAGCTATGAACAATTGAGTATTACCTGATGATCTTTCAGTTTGTCGGCAAAATTTTCATTGAGAGTGCAACCATGGATGTTCATTTGGCCATCCCTAGCTCTTCCAGATTGCAGTATTGCCTGATTCTCAGAATCTGCAAGTTGACTCTATTTAAGGCTTGATCAACAGCTTCCTCCCGAGAATTGTGGCACACGTGTATGCATAGTGGTTGACACTCCAGGCTGGACCACTTCAGGACGATAGAGTGTATCTGTGTGCTATGTGCTCCATGTTAATCATTTCAAAACCAGGACACACTTCTCTACAGGGCTCCTGCTTGAGATCCTTCCTGCAAATCTGTGTGGTCCTGGGCTGTGCTCTCGATTTTTGCTATTGGGGAGTGTGTTCCAGGTAGATGATGATTTTCCTTAATAATGTTTCTGCCACTCATTTGTGACTGAAATGAGCATTCTGTGTGATGAATTCTCCTAGTCTAATTAGGAGGAAGAAAAATCAGGAGGTAAGCATTTTCAGAGCCCGTGTCTTTGAAATGAGAAATTAAAAGCCATGCAAAAGCCCTCCACATCTCTTCCTGACAAATAAATACTCTGAAATAAGGACAGGCATATGTGTCTGTGTTCTGAAATTGGGGGATCTTTGTTGTGCACTGTGCTGGGCATCTGGGTTCATCCTGCCATGCCCTGCCCTGTCCAGCTACCCAGGTGTGGCTCACAGATGTGGTTCTCAGCAGGCCAGGGTACAGCATGAATTCCTAACATTAGCAGCCCCAAAGCCAGAGACATATGAGCTTTTATTTTGTTTGTTTGTTTGTTTGTTTGTTTCTTTTCTGTTTTTGTTTTGTTTTGTTTTTTCTCCTGGGTTTTAGGGACTTTGGATGAACTTTGACACCACATTCAAGCAATCTGCATCTGTGACCTGCATCAAATCCCTGCCTGAAATGGGTTTGCTTGTTGGCTTGGTCCACCTAAATTCACCCACCTATCCTGCCTCATCTCTTACAGCAGGACATCACATGTCCCTCTCTGTTGTCAGACTGTTTTGTCTAGTGTCCTTACTGCAATCATATATTTGGAGCCTCTCGGCTGTGCCGCCCTTCTCTGTGTCCTGCCTGTAATGCCAGCCCCAGACCCGGATTTCATTCCTGGTCAGCTATGTGTTTCTCTCCTAGCCGCATGCTGTCCTGCAGGCAGCTCATCTCAGTGCCTAGCAGCAGCTCCAGTTCTAAGGCAGCAGACTAGCTGGGACCAGACTGAGTCACCCAAAAGCAAAGGTTGTGTTTTAGAGGAAGGGGACCAAAGGAAACAGGGCAGGAGGCATTGTAAGCGCCAGGAAGCTTACTCACAATAGACATTTATTCCTCATAATTCCAGAGGCTGAGGAGTCCGAGATTAAGGTATGGAATGGGGGTGGTGTCTGGCTGGGCCCTACTTCCTTATACACAATCGGCTCACATGACAGGTGATTGTTATGGTCTTAATGTTTGTGTCTTCTTAAAATCTATATCCAAGAAGGAGCCTTTGTCTCTAAAAGTGACAGTACATAGAGGTGAGGCCTTCTGTGGGCTACTAGGTCATGAAGGCAGAGCTGTCCCCACCCCCATTTGGAGTAGAATCCTTATAAAACAAGCTCCAAGACCTGTTTGCCTTCCCTGACATGTGAGTCTACTGTGAGTAAGCTTTCTGGTCTGAGGCATTTTGTTACAGAAGCCCCAGCGGGCTGCTGCAGTGGTGGAAAATTCAGAAGTTTACACCAATACCTAAAGAGCCAGAGCAATCTGGTCTAGGA